ATCATAATTATTTTAAATACTGAAGGTGTGTATATATACGAGGGTTGTCCAAAAAGTTCGTGGACAATGGCGTTTTTGTTAAAATGAATGGTTCAAGATATGCTTATTGTATACCAAAATATTAGTTATGAAAATCCAAGTAGGAACAGTTTGATTTTTATTGTTTGAACTTAATATTTTTGTAAAAATCTCGGTCATTAAAGGTCGCCGATAGTGCGCACGGACCAGGGTTAAAATGCCATGAACTTTTAAATAAAGTGATCTGATTGAAATGATTATTTTCTTTTTAAAACGAGTCAAAGCTGAATAAAGATTTAATATCTCACAAATAAAGCGGTTATCGCCATTTTCTGATACCTATAGTATCGCTTACTAAACAGACAATGAAAATATTAAGTGAAAACCGCAAGAAGTATGTTTCTAAAATTGACAAAAAAGCGACGTCGGCCATCCGAACGGGACAGCGTCCAATCATACAATTATGGTTAATATGGTTGAAACGTCGTCAAAGACAAAATATTTATTCAAACAACATCAATTTATTGGAAAATATTTATTCTTGTGATTCGTAATTGGTGTATACGATTTTTCAACGGTGTGTAAAATTTCGGGAGTCACTACAAGAATTGGAAAATCACTGTTATTTGATGAAAATAGGATATATGACGTTGTTATAAATATAGCGCGGTCGGGCTGGGCTGTGCATTTTGTGTTTACGAAGTGTTAATATTGATGACGCTCGTAAATTATTGTGTATTGTTTTGAATTTTAAAATTTAAATTAATTAAAATCTATACATAAATATTACTGCACACATTTGGCAATGTGGCATAATTAATAGAGAATAATACATGGCAAAATCTGTATCACACCCCATATCAACCCGAGACTCCAATATCAGCCGAAGGGCCGAAGGCCAGAGGGCTGATATTGGTCGAGGGTTGATATTGGGTGTGATACAGATTTTGCCATGCATTGTTGTTTTTATTATATATTTAAACGCAAAGGAAAGCGCGAGATCGGTTGCGGCTGTGGAGCATCACTGAATATTCCTTCGTAATAGAATAGAATCCGAAATTTAACACTTAATATAGATTTTGAATATACAGACGTTTGGAAGATAAACTTCATTTTTGTTTCTAGAAATGTTTTTATTTACAAAAAATAATATATTTTCGTGTTTTTAAACTGAGTAGATCGATGACCTAGCATCGTTTTAGATAACGCAGCCCCTCTAGCCCAGTCTTCGGCTTCAGTAAAAAACCTGCACTTGCTATAAAACTGATGTATACTGTATAGTTCTAAACTTCTTCATGTCCGTAGCAAATACTGATACCCAGTCTACATGATCTAAGCGTCACTAGCGAACGCTGCACACACCTGTGCTTGCAAGACCAAATAGCCTAGGTCTACACACGTGCGGAGATCCTTTCCGACGAGCTCGGAAAATCACGTTGTTTCAATAATAACCATTCCGTTATTTAAAAAAAAAAGAGAGAGAAAAAACACACACACTTAATGATTAACAATCTAACTCAAAAGAAAATATACGGCAATTAACGAACAATAATCATGACAGTAATATAATTGGTGAAAAGATTTATCAAATGTTATCAATCGAAGTATGACCTATATTTTCGTGAAAAAGACTGAGGAGGCAGCGAGCGTAGGGAAATGAAAACTTTTTATTTGCTTTTCTAGGGAAAAAGTGATTTTCTTAAAATCTTTTTACGTTAATTTTGTTTTCTTTAACGTATTAAATATACATCATTATTCTTAACATTTGTTGTAATGTTGTATCTACTGATCATGAATGGAACTATTTTCTTCGGAGCAATTGTGAAGAGTACCTGACTTTAGTAATATATCTTGAATAGATAATTATGCACTGATCGAATATATTAAAAAATGAGTGGGTTTAAAAATTCAATTCCAGTGTTTAAATATTGCATGAGTAAATAGAACTTGTTTACGTCTGATTTTTCCCTGAAAACATTACGATGTTTATCCGATGTAATTTTAGAAAGAGATTTTTAGCCAATCAAAATCTCTGTGCGGGATTAGCACATACCATTTCATGGTTGAAGTCGACTTTTCTACTCGGCGAGCAGAGTTTTGACGCTGTTTACGGAGACTAAAGAAAATAAAGACAAACATACCATATATGGTTGTGTAGATAAATTTATCGTAGAAAACATCTATAGGTATATACAGTTTGTCAGTGTATTTCCTCTGAAAGTGTAAATGAGTGCGATTCTGGGGGAGGGGGGTACTCCGTGTAATCCGGAGTTAGATACCTTGTGTTATTATTATACTATGAGTTAAAAATTTATTACCGAAACAAGTGCCTGTGGTTCATAACCTTAAACCATTAGATGTACATAACATAATAACACAGGAAACAAAATTATGTATAAATCAAATGGAAAAGTTTTCTACTATTTTGGAGTCACATGATCATTTGTCATTTCAGGGACAGGGAGCGGCTAGGGAGATTGGACCCCCCCCCCCCCCGGAATTTGCAGAGTTATTTAAATAGGACTATAAACTGATTTACAGAAGCAAATAAAAAATGACTTTGGACGCCCTCCCCCTTTAAAAACATGGACCCCACTATCATTGTTTATTTTGTTTGTTTGGGTTTTTTTCCGGAAAAAAATTCCTGGATCTGTGCCTGTAACTGAATGTAATGTCGACAACGGGAGATAACTCTTCAGAATGTGAAATTCGTCTATTGTGGCATCCGATGATCTTTGATCCCTTTTAAACTTTTACCTAAACATTTGCATTTCGGTTATTTTACCCCAATCAATACTTAAACTTGTACCTACCGACTGTCATAGGTCCTGTCAACTTCATGAAATATAATTCAATTAAAACACAAAATGAACTAATTTCCACTGATATACATGTAATGATGTTTACACCACGCTGCACCATGTGCAATGATAATGGTAAAACTAGTACTAGTAGGGTGACGCAAGCCCAATGTGATGTAGAAATTTTCAAAAAGGTGTTCACATACATGTACAGTACAAGAACAAATTTTAAATTATCATAACAAACGATGTTTTAACGTAACTTTGCCATCTTGGCTATTTCCAGAAACAGGCAATTTGTGTGTGTGTTGGGGGGGGGGGGGTTACAAAATTGATTGGGTATGGCTTTTCAAGGAGGTTTTTGCCTAATCAAATACTAAATAAAAAGTTTGCACATTTTGACAAATTCATCAAAAACGCTATTACTAAAATAATATTATTTGTTGTTGAGAAAATAAATTTAAAAAGTTCCAATTATGGGCCAAAAATTTATATCCCCCTTTTATAAAAAAACCTAATTTACATCATTAATTAAATTCTGTTATTTCAGACTGGTAATGAATTAACTAAAGGAAATACCAATAAGAGGCTCATAGGTCACATGGTCATCTGAGCATTTTATGCTCGAATTGACGAATACATGTACCGGTACATGTACTGTGTACATCCAGGGACTTATATACTAACTACTACCTACTACATTGTATATAGGTCCCTGGTACATCACAGAATTATTTGGACTTTTTCCTTGGTAAGCCCAATATGAAGGAGTGTGCATTTAGAGGCAAACACCTTAGTGCGGGTATTACTGTCTCATGACAGCATCTAGTTCTACATACATTTGATATTAAAAAGATGCTGGAGTTCCTCTGTGACATTTGTGTAGTCTTCGGAGACCAGGTTTTCTATCAAGCTGTTGAATTCCCGATAGGTACTTATTGTGCTCCTTTATAAGCCGACCTATTTTTACATTCCTATGAAGCAGAATTTGTTCAAAAACTTTACCATGAGAATAAAACACTTGCTGTAGCCTTCAACTCAACATTAAAATAAATTCGTAGAAATATCGACGTACATTATTTATTAACAATAGTTACTTCCATTCATATGTCGACTAGATATATCCCAGAGAACTTGAAATAAAAGACACTACAGAGTCTGCCTAATCAGTCTTCTTAGATGTTTTACTGACTATAGACGATAAAGGCCAACTAACAACTAAATTGAATGCCAAATGAGATAAATTCAGCTTTTCCATCGTCAACTCTCCTTATTCATGTAGTAATATCCCACTATCACCTGCATATGGTGTTTACATCTCCCAACTTATTCGATACTCAAGAGCATGCTCCTAGTACGATTAATTTTTAAACCAAGGCGGTCTACTGACAGAAAAGTTGATGTTACAGGGATTTCAACGACCTCGTTTAAAGTAAGCATTTTATAAATTCTATGGTCGTTATAATGACCTTGTTAGCAAATATAATCTGTCATTGGGTCGTATGTCGGCTGAAGTGTTTCATACCAATTATTAGACCTGCAGACTGAATTTGATTATGAAAAGTTCTGTTTAGTCCCAGACACCAGATCCCTCCTCCGGAATTTCATAAGGTCTGTATTTTATGCCCTCTTCACATATTTGTATAGTTTATAGATTTTTAGAGATTGATCACTGTGCATTATCTTAAAGTTTTTCATTATTAAAAGAATAACAAAGATGTGTTGACAGTTTTATATTCGTTGGTTTTCTATACAAATGATTCTAATGTATCAATAAGCAATGAATGCAAGTAGAAATACATGAATTTACAGCAATGATTGATATATGCTCTTCATAAAATATGAGCTAAAAAGTATCCCGTTTTATTATACCTCTGTGAATTTTTTCTATATAAAAATACAGGTATGATGAATAAACCTGCTATTTTTTTCTAAACAGCCCTACCGTAGAATAGTTTATGTACCATTTGCCCATGGTGAAATAGTCATCAAACTATTCACTGGCAACATTCCCTTTCCCTCGCTTTTCATTTCGGAAATCTTCCGGGATTATCCGCATTGTGACGTAACACAAGTAAAGTCAGCTTCGGTATAATAAAACACCTTTTTACTGACTATTCGGACAATAGTAAGTTTATCGTCCCCCTCGACAGCAACTATGTCCCTCAGCTGCGCCTCGGGAAATAGTTGCTGTCTTGGAATACGATAAACTTGCTATTGTCCTCATAGCCAGTAATTCTACAAAATTATTAAATCTTGCAAGGTTTACTTCACAACATCAACAGCTTATTTTTAAATTATATTAATCATGATAATTATTGATTTCATTTCAAAATATAAGGGTCTATTTCTTCTAGTTGCCTAAAAATTTTTTCCAATCTTTTTGGGGCTTTGTCCATCGAATTTATTGCTTTTTCGTCATCGGTTGTGAAATTAGTCACTTGTAACCCATACTCAATTTCCAGCTGATTAACTGCGCATTCTAATCCTTGCATTTTTGCATAACATGCCTTCCACTGCCCTACTTTTCCATATCCCTCTTCATACAATTTCTTGAGCCTTTCCTCGGTTTTGCATAACATATCCTCTATTTTACACACTTTTGAGGTTAACTGCAAAATATTTCCATACATACAAGATTACTCACAAATCCAACATACAGTCCTCAATGATTTACTAGTATATTATCTAATTTCAAAAAATTATAAATCTACTTGAAACTGTCGTAAGGTTTACACGAACATATTTTTTGTTTCTAAAAATTTATTTTATCAAAACTTACGTTAGACCCACAGGCTCCATGGTCATCTGCACCATCACCTGAAAGGAACAGCAATTAGAGTAAAATTTTAGCTAGCCCATATAAAAAAAAAATGATTTAAATTTTAAATAAATTGATTCAATATCCCAACATTTTTTTGTATTTTGTTTCTGATAAATTTAAAGCTTTTTACAATTTTAACACTAAAGGTTTGCACAAAAATAATGGGGTTTTTTTCTTTCTTTTTTTGCAATAAAAATATTTTCAAAAAGGCCTTCAGCTTTTGCATTAATAAATTTAAAATTAAAAATTTTTGCATTAATAATTTAGAACTACTCAACACAAATTTCACCTGGTTATTTGTATAATTCAAGTATAAAAAGGTTAAATGAACATTTCTTTTCTTGCTAACCTGGATTCAAGGTTTCTGGACTAGTCTTTGCTGAAGTCTCTTCTTGCGATTGATTAGGAAGCACTATTAACTCTATATCTTTTATCCTCCCCAACACACAAGAATATGCTTTTTCTAAATAACTAACCCTGTCTCTGATATATTTATCCTTTTTTGACTTTTCACAAACAGTTTTGTACTCTTCTTCACAAAATTCCATCTCCAATTCACTTTGTAATTTATTTATACATGTTAATTTGATTTCCAGATATCGAACACAGCCAGTTAGTTTGTATTGCTCCTTCAACAGATCGTAAATTCTTCTGTCTGCCTCGTCCAATCCTTTCTCAAGCTTTGCAATATTTCTCTCTGGAATCTACAGAGAAACATCAACTACACCAAGTTGAACATTAAAAACAAGAGGCCTAAGAGCCACAATGCTCACCGGAGTCACCCAAGTCATGTTGTTCATTTGAAAATTTACAGAATTTTGCCCTTTATAAGCCCATGGAAAACTCCTTCCCTCTATTTTGGCCCAACCTAGCCTAAAGGGGATATATGCCAGGCGCGTAGCTGCCTATACGCAAATACGCAAGTGCGTACACATCATTTTCAGAAAAAAAAAGAAAAAAGATAAGAAAAAAGAGAAAATTATTCGGAGAAAAAAATCTCAGTACCATCCAACGAATATTCGTGTTTCAAATTATTCTGTGTCATACTGTGTCGATTTAAATTTTAAATTATCAAGGCTGTATGATAAAATTTGAAATCTTTTATTTAATAAGTGACAAATCCAAATAAATCTTTCATTATTTTGTCATTATTCTATCATACATTGATTTTTTTTTAAAAAATCTTTGAAAAAATAAATTTCAGTCACATCGTTGAATGCTATGATCTACTAGTATGATTTACAATACGATATTTTTTTGTTCATAATTAAAATTTGTATACGTATTTTTAAACATTAAGAATGATTATATGATACCAATTAATATATCGGTTAAATTTCAGCCTCAATTATATGTACAGTAAGTTTCCATGGAATATTAATTTTCGTTAAAACAATAAATATTACTAGGTCTTTTATTTCCTAAACAAAAACTAAATGGCACAATTTTTATATTGCAAGAAGATGAAATATTTGGTAAAACTCCGGAGCTTCTGGGCCCTCACCAGCAGGCACGTAGTATCAGGGGAGCCTCCCCACTATTTATTCCCAAAACCTAACCTTTTACTATTGAAAAAATGTACATTGAAAGGGTGGACCCCCACTGTTTGTTGCACCATTGTTAAATAATTGTAATTTGGTAATATATTTAATAAAAATTTGATTTGTGAAAGATGGAACCCCCCCCCCCCCTACAACAAACACACACACACACACAAGAAATAGGACTTCGAATTTTGACAATCTTCCTTTTTCGTCCTTGCTTGACAAAATTTTTAAAGTTGTAATTTTTTCCTGGCTGGCAAAAGCTATATTACGTGCCTGACCAGAGCCCTTACACACTGGCGGGGGGGGGGGGGGGGGGGTAGGGCTCAAGACCCCCCACCCCTCTGCCGTTCTCTGCGTACACATCATTTCTATTCTGGCTACGCGCCTGTATGCAAGACATGAACAAACTTAAATCCACACTACATAGGGTTGCCAAACATCTTGTTCTTTTTTAAGAAGAGGGTATTTCCTAGGAATTGTGTAGAACACTAAATCTTTAATATCCTATCAAAGCTCCATGACCCCTGGAGACATAATTTGAACAAACCTGAATTAAAAAAAGAGACTTTTTTAGAATGTAAATATAGCTCGCTGTGGACCTAATGCTCTTGATAGGAAGACTTTGACAGATTTTCCCCCAATATGTTACTATACAAAGCAGAAGTCTCTGACAAGACTGTAGCTCTACTGGTTTGTACTAATGACAAAGGAAGGGAAAAGTAGCACTTGAATTTGAAACTTTGCAACAGCAATAAATAGAATAATGATCCTTGGTCTAGTTTCTCTTTGTGGCAAGATTTATTGCGAACAGATTAATACTGTAGGAAGTAGAGTTGGGTATTGGCTGGAAATTTCGTATTTTTAAATGTGTCGCGAAATGTATTGCAACATTTGAAATGACAAAATACTTTTTTCCTATTTTATTAACCTCCATCTATAAGCACAGTGTATTACAAAACAGTTCTTGTTGATTTCAGTACAGTTATGGAACAAAATGCAACCATACAACAGCAACCTTACCGTTTGGTACTGTTTGTCATGATTGAAAATGATCCTGACATATTAAATTTCATATTTTATTTGTGAAATCTAAAGCCTAATCAGTTTGCCGGAATATCGATACTGGAAAATGTATCGCAATACGATATTTTTAAAATGAATCGCAATATACCGGAATATTGATATTTTTGCTCAGCCCTAGTAGAAGAGTAACATTTTCAAAGTTTTTCACAGAAATTTCTATTCTTAGTAACCATGGCAACAGCGTTCATCAAAATAAAAAACCGATAAAGACATTAACGTACCTCATTGTAGTCTACTTGCATGCCAAGTTATATTAAAATCAGACCAAACTGAAAGAGAAGTAGTGTTCTGATAATATTTCACAGAAATTTCTATTTTTAGTAACCCTGGCAACAACGTTCATCGAAATAAAAAATGACATTAAATTACATCTCTTAGCGTAGTTTACTAGTCTTGTGCGCCAAGTTATACTGAAATCAAACCGAAAATGTAGGAACAGTAACTTTTTGAAAGTATTTCACAGAAATTTATTTCTTTTGGTAACCATGGCAACACCATTCATCGAAATCAAAAACCGATACACAGAATTATGTATTTTAGTGTGAACTACTAGTGTGCCAAGTTCCACTGAAATCAGACTAAAACTGTAGGAGAGGTAGCCGTTTGGAAGTATTTCAAAGAAATTTATATTTTTAGTAACCATGGCAACACCGTTCATGGAAATCAAAAACCGATATATAGAATTATGTAGCTTAATTCAGTCTAGTTGTGTGCAAAATTTTATTGAAATCAGATAAAAATGTAGGAAGAGTAGATTTCGAAAAATTGTTTACAGACAGACAGCGGACAGACAGACAGACACACAGAAAGACGAAAGAACGGATGACGGACACCTTACTATCGCATAAGCTCTTCTGGTCTCTGACCAGTAGAGCTAAAAATTGACTCTCAATTGTGGCGCAACCCTACCCCTTTTTGAAATGTTTTGAAGAAACACAATTCTTAATTAATGAGGAAAAGACACATACCTCAGAGTCACCCTTTGCTTGTACATCCTCACTTTCTACAATTTGTTAAATAATTGAAATGCTAAACAAATATTGCATCAATAAAAAGTTTAAAATCATGGCATTCACTTTTAAGTAGAATATAATACCTATTGGTCTTGTGCCTCTTCTCTTCCTTGTTCTCTCTAAAATGTACATGTAAAAGACCATACTTGCAAAATAATTTTATGAATTTGAAAGATGCAACTTAGAAACCTTAATTTACTGTATGAACTATTCAACATTCAACCAAGACCCTTAGGCTTGATGAATAGAAATAATCTTATTGGTTTGTCTCAGTCAATCATCTGTTAAAACCCAAGTGGAATTTAAAAATAAATGTATTTTAAAAAGTGAAACCATAAAAGAGAAAAGAATTAAGCAAGAGTTTATTATAAGCTTAACAGTCATTCAACTCACTTTTACCATAGTACTTATTCGGATCTTCACAGGATTGTTCCTGCATGTTTGATTTAACATTCATCAAGTTATCTGAACCTATACATAAAAAAAATAATTATAATGTTTATTCCCTATTTTATAGCAAAGGGTTAATGTAATATCCAAAAAAAAAAACAAAAAAAAACACCAAAGCCTGGTCAACCAAACTTTTTAACGAGGTTCGCTCCTGAGCTTTTGAGCAGATTCTTATCTTAACCTTTATTTCAAAAATTCTGCATAATGTTTTAATTCTTACAATAAATTTGGATTCTACAATGCCAGTTTAACTATACTCAGTTAAAACTCCATGATTAAATTCCATACCAAAAGCTTTAAGTGAGGAACTATATTTTGTGGCGGAAGGTTTTTTAGAAGAACATGATCATTTTTTCTCTTTCGAAGTATTTAAAGTATGTTAAGTTTGGATTCCTATTTTTACATGTAGTCTGCACACATAGTGATTTTGTGCAGTGGACTGTTTTATACTGGTCCTAAATTATCTAATAAAAAAACTGTCATGAATTCTATCATCATATTTGATAAATATAGCAAATATATTGTGGAAATGAAGAAAAAAAATTAGCCCTAATTTAAGCTTAAAATTAGCACTATTTTAGTAATATCTAAAAATTAACATCACAGACCCCCACTTTTAATTTTCTTTTCTGAATATATACAATACTTTTAATCATTCTTCTTAAATTCAGTAAAATGTCATTACTTTCAAATGATTTTTTTTGCTTGTTAAATTTTAATACCAGAAAAATGAAAATGTTTGAGTGCAAAAAGGTCAAATAATTGAACATGCGGAGTAATTCAAAAATTTCTTTGTTGTTACAAATTTTAATGTGTCTATTTAAGATGAAGTAAGACTGTGTTTGTTCACCATAATTTATTTGAACAAAAAATATTGAAGGAAAAACTTTAAAAATTGATTTATGTGTAAGACGTATTTACAGTGCAAAAAGGTCAAACTAAATGCTCTGTAGCGCCAAAAGAAGCGCATTGACCCTCAGTTTTTGTTTTCATTTTTAATAAAGCTATGTGTATAAATTCTAAAAATATACTTGATAAAAAATTCTCATTACTTTTGATGGCAGGATCCAACCTCCTTAAAGAATATCATCCTCACAATGTCAGGGGTCCTGATTCAACCCAATACGGTTGGACCCCTGACAAATTTCATTCAATATCTTACGGGCCTGACTGCAGCGACATCTTACATGAAAATTATAAATCTTTATTTTCTTATGTCTACACGTGCATTTTATGTGTAAACTGATTCCTTTCTGTTTACATTATCTGTCTACTTCAATTTCATTGGTGCTTCTCAATGAGAGAAGCAAGCCCAAATAAAACTAATGAAATTTGTCAGGGGTCCAACGGCAACGTGTTGACTAAGGACTCCTGACATTGTTAGGATGAAAGAATATGAAATTACTCATATATACTGTCATTCAATAGTTCATGCTTTATCTTAGTGAAAAAATATTTGATTATCTGCTAACCTCCTGATACATCCAAGTCTAACAACAAATTCAAAGGATCTTTATTAGAAGTATCTGGACGAGATTCCTCACTGCACAAATAAGGAGATATGAGTACCTCTTCACTGTTTTCTTTTTGGTTTTGTTCCCTCTGATGCAACTCTTCACCTGAATAAGATAAAAAAATATTTACACTTCACAAATCAAATTTGGTAACATTCAATCCATGCATTATATTTCAGCTTGAATGAAAAAATATTACATTATCTTAAATTCTATTGATCAACATTAGAATTTGCATCTTAATAAACCTTTTTTTCTTTGAGTTTTGTATTGGGTGAAGTCATGATGCATTCTTAAAGAATGATTCTAGTCTACATATGGGGCACATTACTTAAAAATTTTTATGAAAGCATAATTATCAGTTTGTATACTTTTGATTATTCAACCTTAGTGCCTTTGTAAGAGCATATTCTCCTTTGTTGCAGGGGTTAATTAACTCTATGTTTCAAATAATTTTGAATAACTTAAAGGCAGAGATTTTAAGCACCACCATTGAAAATACCTGGTCTGTGTACTCCTGTCAATCAAGTGCATTAAGGTCCATCATTGGGTGCCAGAACTTGATTAACATTTACTTACTAGTCCCTGTGTATACCCTGTACACCTAGTGACCTTCAAATTAACTTTTGATCCTTTGATATTTACCACACGTGGTATAAAGAAACTGTATTACTATGAAAATTTTTAGCTTGATAATATATAATTAAATATACTCTAATATTTGAAAGGATTATAATATGCTTTATGATAATATACATGTATCAAACTTTGGTGTAATTTTTTTTTTCCAAAGTAAATTTCAATATTTATAATTTTAATATGCTAAACATAAAGTGGAAATGTCATGCATGTAAACTAAGTTTAGAGCAGCATCGTGTGTAGTAATTAAATTAAAAAAATATTTATAAATGTTTCTAATCACGGGTCACTGATATTTTTCTTTGTTTTTAGGATAAGAATTTATAAGCAATTATTTTTTGAGCATGTTTAGGTAAAGTTTGACTTCTTAGGTATTTTCTTGTTTATTAAATCACTTCCTGTGTATAGGGATTAGGACACAAATGAGCACAGGTAGACTGCTAGCCCTCAAGGCATTCACACCTGTACAAAATAAGCCCCTCCCTCACCTGGAATTTACCATCCAGTAAAAAATCGCTGCCTTTAAAGCTGAACACTACTGATAAACAGGCACCGTCACACAGGTCCTTTGTTTTGGTTACACCTAATTGCACACTTGAAACTCGTAGCCGACGTGTAGTATTCCTACCATGGTCGTAGATTCTGTGCATTTATTCCTTGTTTTATATGCATTTTCTGTTTGTAAATAATGAATTGACTTGTATATTTGATGTAACTTTTCTTCTGGCTAGGAAAAAGTGCGTAAAATTTGATAATTTCATCGCGACCCAGTACCACGGCAATTTAAGATGAACGTCCATACACGTGAGACATCCATAACAAAGAAAAACTGTTAAAAGGTCTGTGGCTTATATAGGGATTGTGGGGATAGCATCGATGAAAGAGAAATATGGTGTACAATGCCTTTTACGAGTAGTGTTCAGCTTTAAGCTCGAAGACATGTTTGTTTTTTGTATGTTTGTTTAATTTTTCACTCATATTATGACACCACCACTTCCTAGTGACCTAGTGGAGGGGAGCAAATATAGACATATTCACCACTTACGGCCTTTGAACAGAGAGGGATTTTTGTCGTGCCAGCACCTACTGGGACACGGGACCTCGGTTTATACTGTCTCATGAGCTTAATCCAAACTGCATCAGGATATTTTCATATCAATGCAAAAAATTAAATTTGTATCCTGGCTTTTCTAGAAAATTTACATGCAAAAAAATATAAAAGGTATATTAAATTATGCCTGTTGTTCTTGCGGAAGAAGTGTTGTTCATGTGGTTCAAAACTGAGATTACATCTTCAATATTTATAGACATTTTACATGCTTTGTCTTTATAATTCTGCAATCCTATAGAAAAATAAATCCAATTGGATTTTTTGTCAAATCTATTATTTTATTAAAATATCTAATTTATATTTTGAAGCATTATGAACATAAGTATTCAATATGAAAATATGTAATAATTTCACATATATATATATATATATATATATATATATATATATATATATATATATATATATATATATATATATATATATATATAACCTTGGATTATTTAATTCTAGATATTCCGTGATTTTTAATTGTAAATTAATAGTGTTCTAGAAACTGATATGTAGAACTGAGTAATCCTGATGACGATTCCATCCGTGCACAAAGTTTCAGTCTAATCACAAGAAAATTATAAGACTATTATATTATTAGTTACCATATGACTTCACCATTCATGGATATGTAAAACGGATACACAGATTTACAGGTATTGACCTTTCTGAAGTCTTAATTTGTAACAATTAAGTTTCATTGGAATCAGACCAATCTGTAGGTGAAGTAGAAGTTTTTGATATGATTTAAATTACTATTCAATATCTAATTAAAAAATCACAGCTTATTATAAGTCAAAACACTCTTATGGTTTAGCCTGTGTACCAAGTTTTACATAAATCTGAGCAAGTGTAGGAGGTGTGGCATTTTTAAAAAAAGAGAGAAAGAAAGTATAAAGGTAGGCAATAGGCTCCAAACCAATGCATCATCCTGGTTTCTAACCACTAATGCTTATAATTTATCCAAGACACAAAGAGAACGTGGACAAATTTTCAAACATACTTAAGTCAAACCTGCTCTCTATTGAGCTACATAACTTAAAATACCCGAAGCTTCAGCATTGTTCTCAGAGATTAGATCAGAAGTTAGATGCATGTTACATTTCCGAGTTTCCTTTTGATTTAGAGCACACCTACCAGAAACTTGCAAACCAGTTTTATTTGTAACAGCCAGAGTTTCAGTTTTCACTGCATTATTTGAAGCAAAGCACAGACACTTGAAATGAGGGTATTGATCTGAGGAAGCTGACTATATGTTTTGCATCACAGAATCAGGTGAGTTCTTTCTTGATGACACAGTAATATTCTCTGGTATATATATACTCTTATTCTTTGATCTTATTGTTACGTAATTTAACATGACTATCCTTGTACATAAATTAATTTCTTTCTCAATCTCCAGCACCGAGGTGAATTAGCAGCATTTCGAAACATTAAAGTATAATATTTTGACCAAATTTTGCAAAATTAAATCTGTGTAAAAATTTGCAGATTTATTGTAGTTGTACATGTATCATTTGCTCATTTATAAATCATTAAATAACATTAAATATAAAGTAGGTCACAATAAGTAAAGCATGAGAATTAAAGTAAAAATAAAGCATCCTGATGTATTCTATCTATGTGGTTAATTCCATCTAAAAAATGATTTAACAGATCATTTATTTTTTAATTAGTAAACAAAGCAGTACTGTTCATCAAAATTAAAATCAATACACAATTACAGTTAGTATCTTGGTATATTCTATTTGTGTACCATGTTTTTGTGAAATCAGACAATAATTTTACAAGTGATATTTTTTAAACAGTGGACGGCTTATCACATCAAAACTCCGGTCTCTGACCATGCAGTACATGTATTGCTAAATATTTTCACCAGATACATCTTGATTAGATTTGCAGACACTTACATCAAAGCATTTCTTTTGAGCTTGACAATTTACCTGAGACTTTAGCATCATGTACAGAGATCGGAACAGTAGATAAAGTAGGGTTCTCAGGTACTGCAGAAATTTCTTGTGAACATTCAGTGCTGGTGTCCTTAGTAGAGGAATTAATATGGGAAATGCCATTTTTGAAGAATTTACTGTGTTCTGTTGTGGAACTTTCAGGTGTGTTAGGATCATCCACTTGAGTTCTTCCATTATGATTTGGATTGGTGGTTCCTAAAGTAGATCTCGATGTGAAAAAGTAGAGCATTGTGTATCATAAGTTATTTTTTAATGCTGTGGTACTTTTCATTATAAAAAATTAAACAGGAAAGGCTTAGGATCTATAATTTATGTATTTTCTTTTCTTTTCTACCTAAAGTAGTGGTATTCTCTTGGCCAATTAAATCAAAGTTCCTGAGTAGGATTTGAATGCTTTGAAAAATGCATTTCTGTGAAAATATTTGAAATTTATTTTGGTGAACAAGAGCAAGATAATTAAGTTAATTTGAAATTATAAGAAATCTTGAATCAAAAACAAAAAAATACTGGACCAATAAGGTTTTTGTTTCAGTTTAATGAATATATTTTTAGTTGATTATCTTGGCAAGTATGCAAATAAATTAAATGGGGTATAAAAACAAAATCATTGCTGAATCTGCTTCAAATGTTGCACATATTGACAGTTTTATCGTCTTTAAATTTTAGCAATCGTTCACATGCAATGATTTATAAACTTAAACAAGAGGCCCAAGGGCCTTAATGGTCACCTGAGTGACAACACTGTAAAGGATCCATAGAAGTATAAAACAAAATTATCTAATAGATGAAGCAATGTTGCCCAAGAATTTCACAAATCTGGTAAAAATACCCTTGCTTATTGTAACGTGTTAGACCCAAGTGATCTCCTTAGGATCATACTTGATTTTCCCAAGTCTTACAGTGATGATAATGAATGCAAAATATACAAATACAATGGACACTTGCTATTGAGTAAGGTATTCAAAATATACAGATATGTTTTTGTCACTTGCCTAGTGCTACAATTCAGTACACACAGACTTGGATATACATGTGTAACGTTTTGGGTTTTATAACTAAATATAAATAAATTTGCTGCCGCCAATTGTAACGTGTAATTTTACATCAACTCGGTACCTATGAGGCACGTTACAATAGTTGGGTTCGAAGGTACCTAGTTTTAATAAAGGAAAGAAATATATATAAACAGTTAATACATATATTTATTATAGCATCAGTACATGTATTTATTATAGCATCAAAGACAATAAAGTTCAATAAATATTTAAAATGTCTCTTCAATATTAAGTATACTGCCGAAATTCCACGGAGCTCGGTGTTCGGTGCTACTCGGTGCTCGGGCCTACTCAGTGTTCGGTGCTACTCGGTTTCTGGTGCTACTAGGTGTTCTGTACTACTTCTCGATTTCCGGAGCTTCAAGATGTTCGGTGCTATCTGCTGCTACTACTAATTATAACTATACAGGCACAATCAGGAACTCTGATACTGTAATCAGAACTATATCTGAAATCCAAATTTCTACTTCTTAATAACAAAAAGTCCACCCCCCATTCTATGCTAGCATGTCATGCGTAGATAGGAAAGTTCTTGTGCTAATGCCAACCATAATTTATAACCTATGCAACTTAGAATGGTCTAATATATACTACTCGGTGCTCGGGACTACTCGGTGCTCGGTGCGACCAGGTGCACGGTGCTACCCGGTGCTCGGTGCAGCCGGTGCCAAACTGCACCGTAAATTAACTTTAGCTAAATCTCAATAAAACAGAATTAATTATTCTAAAATTGCACAGTCAATAATACTAAAATTTATTCTAATAATTTAAGAAACAAACTTTGGCTCAGAATCTCACACCGAGTAGTCAATATCTGAATACTTTAAAGCTAATAAAAATTCTCAAATATTTTTTAAAGAATTTACATTTTAATATACTATATCTAAATAGGCTAAGAAGGTTTTAACTTTTTCTAACTTATCTAAAATATGAATTTACCTTAAACTTTACTGGCACCGACCAACACCGACTATTTGCTTTTCTTCTGGAGGAGATCTGACGCCGCCGCTTTGAGTTTGCTGCTTTTATACTGTGACGCAGTGATGCTGCGACTACGTCATATGTAAAATGTAAAACTCCAAAAACAATACTTTTATCAATAAACTAGGATAAACCAACCTACTAATAATACTCCAAAAGATCTATTTTATATAACTATATAACTATAATTTTATAATTATTTTAAGCTTATTATTTCTAGAGTTATATATCCCGAAACTACTCGTCTGCCAATATTCCGGATATATTCATCTCTACCATACAGTTTCCGCAATTACTGAATCTCAGGCATTTCCAGTTATCATATAACGACCGGTAATAAATAAATCTTTTGATGCTAAGTTCTGCAAGACATAATGATTTTAAGAGACACTCTTCTAGAATAGACAAAAGTGGAAATATATACTACAGGTAAACGTAATCCGCATAATCAAAATGAAACACTGACATTTGTTGTTCCAAGTGTAAACATGCATCTTTAGTTCTATAACGGAAACATAACTAAGAAACATACATTCTGAACAACACTAAAGGTTTGCTATGCAGGCGCAACACATGGCTATTTGCCACTTGTCACAAATTACAATAAGTCACCCTGACTCTCTTTGATTTTTTATTCACTTTGATAAAGTGTAAAACAACTTCGTCCAGTCTCTTGTCAACCATGACTTTACCAGTGACAATAACCCATCTTCTGTCAAACAGAACACCTGTGTAAACATACGAGCTCGTACCATGCTCGTACTATGTACAATTACAACTTTTGCTATGCATGTAAATAATCTTTACGTCAGTCTTCTATATTGCTTTCAAAGCAAGAATCTGACTTTGTGAATGCTCTGCTCATTTAAACCAAACATTCATTTTACTTTGTTTCTATATATATATATATATATATATATATATATATATATATATATATATATATCCAAAATGTATAATAAATTATATAATTATCACAGTGTCCGGCAATAAATATTTAAAAAACAAAAAAACGACAACACAAGTTGTAAAACGTTAGCACTTTCATTTCAAAATCTCCAGACGTTTTACTTTAAACAAACGTCATTACCATAACATTTTAACGTCAAATGTTTAAAGTAGAATGTCTGAAGAATTTGAAATGAAAGCCCTAACATTTTACATTTTGTGTTGTCGTTTTTATATATATAAAACATTCTTTCTTGCATTCTAAATCAACAAATAACCTGTTAATTAAATTATATACAAGGAATTCTTGATTAACAACATCTAGCAAAGAGGAGTAACTCTCATTTGCTTCACTTTTTACAATTGTGTACTCTTTTTGCCTCCTAGATACCCATGAGCAAAGAAAAGGCACATCTACTTATAATTTTAGTTAATACATTTACATTGATATTATTGCATTTAGTTTGTTTGCTTAATACTCAGGGGTAGAGGAGAAGATTTTCAAAGAATTAATGCATTTTTGCTAATTGATCAATAGAGTCTCATCCAAGCACAAGAACCCCTGACCCTGGGGCAATGAAATTCACAATTTTTGAAAAGGTACCCATCAGAACTATGTATTTAGTTTGTTTGCTTAATACCTAGGGGCAGAGATGAAGCTTTACAAAGCATTAATTCATTTTCAGTATATAATAAATAAGCCCCCCCCCCCCCGACAAAAAACCCCTGACCCTGGGGCCATGAAATTCACAATTTTGGAAGAGGCACTCTTCTTCAACATAACTATGTACTTAGTTTATTGGCTTAATACCCAGGAACAGAGGAGAAGATTTTCAAAGAATTAATGCATATTCACTACATAATCATTAGAGCACTGCCCTATCACAAGAACCCCTGACCCAGGAGCAGAAGAGAAGATCTTCAAAGAATTAATATATTTTCACTATATAGTTGTATAATCAGTATAGCCCCGCCCTATCACCAGAAACCCTGATCCTGGGGATAAGGAATTAAGAATTTTGCAAGTGGCACTTTTCCTCATTATAACTATGTACTGTACCAGGAGCAGAGGAGAAGACTTTCAAAGAATTAATGCATTTTTGCTAATTTGCTTATTAATCATTAGAGCCCCGCCCTAACACAAGAACCCCCTGACATAGGGGCCATGAAATTCACAATTTCGGAAGAAGCACTCTTCCTTATCATAACTAGGTACTTAGTTTGTTTAAATAATACCCAGGAGCAGAGGAGAAGATTTTCAAAGAATTAATGCATTTTCACTGTATAATCATTAGAGCCCCACCCTAGAAACAGAACCCCTGACCCTGGGGCCATGAAATTAACAATTTTGGTAGAAGACTCAATGCTTATTACAATCATGCCAACAGTTTGACAGCTTGATGTCCACGAGTAAGGAAGAATATTTTTAATGATTGCATTAATTTGAGCCCCACCCCTCAGGCCCCAGGGGGGCAGGGACCATGAAATTCACAAATTTTGTTGATGCCATATGTTAAACTTGACTGAAATTGGTTCAGCGGTTTCAGAGAAGAAGCTGAAAATATTCAAACGTTAACACACGACAGACGACGGAGGATGAAAACAGATAGCAATGGGTCATCTGAGTGACTCAGGTGACCAAATGCCTTTTAATTTATATTTGGTTGAATTGTAATGCACACAATGCCTGCAGACTGGTGATTATACATTTATCAGTGAATTTTAGCTTAAATATAAAACAAATACATTTTAATTCATATTTTTCAATCAATCATACCTTTTTGAAATATCTGAATCAAATATACTCTTAATCTTTTTCTTTGATCTCTTTATGTAAGGTTATTAGTCCCCTACCGGTGAAACCGGAGGGGACTATAGGTTTCCTCTGAGTCTGTAGCACTAGCAGATATTGAGCTGATTTTTGGTATGTGAGTGTATCTTGATGAGTTACAGATCAAGTTTGCATTTCGTTCCACTTCATTGATTTTTGACGGAATTACGGCCTTTTCAATTTTTAGGGGTTTTCCGCATTTTTCTTCTTAACGCTTTCATATATTAAGCTGATTTTTGGTACGTGACTTTACCTTGATTAGTTATAGATCAAGTTTGCATTTCGTCCCGCTTCATTGATTTTTGACGGAATTATGGCATTTTCAATTCTTAACGGGAACCAGATTACACTTACCAGAAGGGGACTAGTATTGCTAATGCAATACTCGCAGAATGCTTGTTAGTCCCCTACCGGTGAAACCGGAGGGGACTTTAGGTTTCCTCTGAGTCTGTCCGTCCGTCCGTTTGTCTGTCTGTCTGTCCCTCTGTCTGTCTGTCAGTCTGTCCCACTTGGTTTTCCGCATTTTTTTCCTACACGCTTGCAGATATTGAGCTGATTTTTGGTATGCGAGTGTATCTTGATGAGTTACAGATCAAGTTTGCATTTCGTTCCGCTTCATTGATTTTTGACGGAATTACGGCCTTTTCAATTTTTAGGGGTTTTCCGCAATTTTCTTCTAAACGCTTGTAGATATTGAGCTGATTTTTGGTATGTGGCTTTACCTTGATTAGTTATACATCAAATTTGCATTTCGTCCTGTTTCATTAATTTTTGACGGAATTATGGCATTTTCAATTCTTACGGGAACCAGATTACACTTGCCGGTAGGGGACAAGTATTGCTAATGCAATACTCTCAGAATGCTTGTTTAACATGACTTTTTCCTTGTACATAAATTTCTTTCTTTTTTTATTTCTCTGTAGTGAGGATTAGCAACATTTGGAAACATTAAATAAAGAATAATATTTTGACCAAATTTTGCAAAATTAAATCTGTGTAAAAAATTTCAGATATACTCTAGCCATAGAAGTATCATTTGCTGATTTTAAAATCATTACATAACATTAAAAATATATGGCATCAGTTAAAATCTGTAAAACATGAGAATTACAATAAAAATACAGCATCCTGATGTATTCTATCTATGTTGCAAAGTCCTTCTAAAGAAAGTTTAACAGATTATTTATTTTTATCAAACAAAACAATACTGTTCACCAAAATTAAAATCAATACACAGAATTACAGTTAGTATCTTGGAACATGTATATTCTATTTGTGAACCATGTTTATGTGAAATCAGACAAATATTGTATGAGTGATATTTTTTTTTAAACTGTGGACACCTACTGGTCTCTGACCAGTATTGCTAAATACTTTCACCAGATATATCTTGATCAGATCTGCAAACACACTTATTTTAATGCATTTTTTTTTTTAGGATAACAATTTACCTGAGACTTTAGCATCATGTACAGAGATCGGAACAGTAGATAAAGTAGGGTTCTCAGGTACTGCAGAAATTTCTTGTGAACATTCAGTGCTGGTGTCCTTAGTAGAGGAATTAATATGGGAAATGCCATTTTTGGAGAATTTACTGTGTTCTGTTGTGGAACTTTCAGGTGTGTTAGGATCATCCACTTGAGTTTTTCCATTATGATTTGGATTGGTGGTTCCTAAAATAGATCTCGATGTGAAAAAGTAGAGCATTGTGTATCATATGTTATTTTTTAATGCTGTGGTATTCTCATTATAAAAATGTAATTAGAAAAGGCTTAGGATCTATAATTTATGCATTTTCTTTTCTTCCTAAAGTACTGGTATTCTCTTGGCCAAATCGAAGTCCCTGAGTAGGATTTGAATGCTTTGAAAAATGCATTTCTGTGAAAATATTTGAAATTTATTTTGGTGAACAAGAGCAAGATAACTAAGTTAATTTGAAATTATACCAAATCTTGAATTAAACAAGAGGCCTAAGGGCCTTAATGGTCACCTGAGTACAATACAACAATTTAGAGGATCCATAAACTAAAAAATGAAGCTTTGTTGCCCAAAAGCAAGAAATATAGTACGATCAGCATCAACAAAATAATTGGCCTAGTATCTATCTGTCCCCCATTTATCACCATTACCATGCAGACTATTTAACAAAATGTCTACTTTTTATCCCCATATTATTACTTCTCACATTGGCCTCTCTTGGCATTTGAAGAACATTTAAAAAGATAAGTTATTTTTGTCTCAATTTTTTTCATCTATTATTTCCAAGTCTACCTGATCATTAAAACTGTGAAAGTACTTTTTGTATTTTACAATAAATATTCTTGCATAATTCTCGTATTCTATTAACCTTTCAAATACATTGTTTACAGTGAATGGCAAAGGGGAATAACTTTGCTCAGCAGAATACAAGTTAATAGAGCACTGGGCAGGACAAGAACACTTGACTAAATGGTCCAGGTGTTCCAAGTTCTGGTAAAAATACCTTTGCATATTAAAACTTCTACTCTTCCTTTGTTTGGATAATACTAAGAAGCAGAGAAGAAGATTTTGAAAGAATTTATGCATTTTCCCTATATAATCAATAGAGCCCCGCCCTTACATCAGAACCCTTGACTCGGGGCCATGAAATTCATAATTTTGAAAAAGGCAACCATGCTCATCATAATTCGCAGTCACTATGTACTTAGTTTATTAAATATCCAGGAGCATAGAAGAAGATTTTTAAAGAATTAATGCAATTTTACTATATAATCAATGGAGCCCCACCCTAACAATTGAATCCCTGACCCTGGGGCCATAAAATTCACAATTTTGGAAAAGGCAGTCTTGCTCATCATAACAATGTACTTGGTTACTTTATTCAATACCCAGGAGCAGAGAAGAAGATTTTCAAAAAAATAATGCATTTTCACTATATAATCAATAGAGCCCCGGTGGCCCTAACACCAAAACCCCTGACCCTGGGGGCCATGAATTTCACAATTTTGGAAGAAGCACTCTTGCTTTTCATAACTACAGACATGTGCCATAATTTAACGGCAAAAATCCAAGATGGCGTCGCTCAAGCGTGAAGCGTAAGTAAACAAGCTCGGTATACATTCTATTCTTGGGGAAAACACATATCTATTTTTAGCTCCTGGTTATTCTTACTTCCGTTTTTAAATTCAAACCGGATGTTTGGTTGTCGTCTGCCTCTGGAAATTTTTACATAGTGTATTTAATCATGGCTGAAAACCGTAAACATTTGTCAAATGACATTAAAAATGTCATCGTAGATATGCGAGAAATAAGTTACAACAGATTGCTGATGATTTGAACATTCCCAGAGGAACTGTTACAGGAGTTATCTCTCGTTTTAAACAAAGAGGTGTAGTAGAGAATTTGCCTCAAACTGGACGTCCGCGTTTACTGTCAGTGAGGGATAGTCGTTCGCTTGTTCGGCTTGCTAGGACCAACAGGAAAACTCCACTGAAAGAAATTACCACCCAGTTTAATACCTTTAGACCTCGGGAAGTGTCTAAAAGAACTGTCCAAAGATGTCTTTACCGGGAAGGTTACCATAGACGCATAGTAAAAAAGAAAGTCCGTGTGAAAGAGGTGAATCGTAAAAAGCGGTTAGCATGGTGTCGAGGAAAACTTTATTGGCGTGTGAATGGTCAGTGGGACAGAGTAATTTTCTCTGATGAAAGTCAAGTTGTTTTGGGTCAAAACAATAGGTTCTATATATGGCGCCGAAAGGATGAAGCAGAGTCCCCCGACTGTGTCTGCTCCCCGTCCCAACGAAGAATATCTGTTATGATTTGGGGATGTATAACATATTACGGTGTGGGTACCATTACAACCATAAATGGAACTGTGAATAAACACAAGTATATAGATATCCTTGAGGACAACTTGTGGCCCGTTATAGCTACACATTTTCCGAACCAAAACTTTTTATTTCAAGACGATAATGCCCCGATCCACCGAGCCCAAGATGTCAAAAATTACAAAGCAAGGAACAATATTAATTGTATCAGCTGGCCTGCACAGTCACCTGATTTAAATATTATTGAGAATGTGTGGCTAAAACTTAAACAGAGACTGCAACATCGTGTGGAAAATATCACTACCCCCGATGAACTTTCCAGGGCTATCGTAGACATATGGCAAAATCTCCCTTTGGAATATATACAGGGGCTATATAATTCCCTGCCGAGACGCATGAGGAAAGTTTTGAGGGTCAAAGGTGAAATGACAAAATATTAAACATCGGTAAGTTATTTTTTTTACTTATTTTATGTTTATTGTTTACATTACGCTTCACGCTTGAGCGACGCCATCTTGGATTTTTGCCGTTAAATTATGGCACACGTCTGTATGTACTTAGTTACTTTATTTAATACCCAGAAGCAGAGAAGAAGATTTTCAAAGAAATAATGCACATTCACTATATGATCTATATAGCCCCACCCTAGCACCACAACCCCTGACCCTGGGGCCATGAATTTCATAATTTTGGTAGAGGGCTCAATGCTTATTACAATCATGCCAACAGTTTGACTGCTTGATGTCCAGGAGTAAAGAAGAAGATTTTTAAAGATTGCATTATTTTTGGTGGTTTTAGCCCCATCCCTCAGGCCCCAGGGGGGCAGGGACCATGAAATTCAAAATTTTTCTTCCCCTTCATCCATAGATGCTATGCCAAATTTGGTTGAAATTGGTTAAGCGGTTTCAGAGAAGAAGCTAAAAATGTTCAAATGTTAACACATGACGCACACCGATGGACTAGAACGGATAGAATAGGTCACCTGAGTGACTCAGGTGACCTAAAAAAAAACAAAATATTGGACCAATAAGATTTTTGTTTCAGTTTAATGAAATATGAAGATAACGAAGAGTATTCAATCTCGAAAGTCCAATGAAACGCTACAAATTTGGAGCAGAGCAAAACGGACCTAAAAATTTAGAGGTGGGATCAGGTGCCATAGAGGAGTGAGAATCCCCTGCCGACCAGTCATACCCACCGTGTGCTCCTTGTCATGATCAGGAAACAAAAACCAGAAAAATCTGTAGACAGTTCAGTGTATAAATAATGGCCAAACAATTTGTATGAAAAATGTCAGTCAGCATTTGACTCAATGATAGGTTGTATGTGCTGACAAGGTAATTGTATCAACCAAAAAACTTGCGAAAAGATGACTTCAAACAAGGCTGTTGATATCCTTGTTTCGTCGATTTGTTTGTCAATAGCTTGCCTCGAAATTGTTCATACGTAAAGCATGCTCTTGTGTATCAAATCAACTGAGAGACATAAACCCCATAAGCAGGTGTTAAGGGTATTTTGCTACATAAGGGAAGTTGACAATTGAAAAGTTGAAGTCTATCATGTTTATCATAAAGCTTTGTTGTTCGGTTATCATTAATGTCTTTTTCTAGTAAAATATCTAAATATGAAACAGATGTGTCAGAATCTGTGGTATCTTTATTTCAAGCTCACTGGGATATGTGGAATAGACATATGAATCAAAGTAACTATTGTTAATTGATAATAAGTTGTCGATATATTGAAATGTCGAGTTGAAGGCCACAGCAAGTGTGAAAGTAACTAGTTATAATTGTAACGGGGACCGTTACAGATGTTCCCCAAACGCTCCCCAACTCCTTTTTGGTGACTTTTTTCCTGTAAGCTTCATTAAATAAGGCAATGAAGTATATTGGTCATTTTTTGCATTTCACGCGCGCGCACGTGCATGCATGTGCAGGATGACCAAGTCATCCCGTCTATACTATATATGCATCTTTATATTCTCAGTATCAAAACATTTCATCAAAAAATATATAAGTTCCGGCTAAATCAAGCATATTGGTCATCTTAGCATTGCGCGCACGCGCACATGCATGCATGTTCATAATGACCATGCCATTTTGTGTACACTTATAATACGTCTGTTAATTCATAGTATCAAAGCTTTTCATCAAAAAATATAAAAGTTACGGCTATATTAAGTATATTGGTCATTTAACACATTGCACGCGCGCGCATGTGCATACATGTGCATCATGGCCAAATCATCTTGTCTACACTTTTAATATATATATATATATTCTTAATATCAAAGCTTTTCATCAAAAAATATAAAAATTACGGCTATATTAATTATATTGGCCATTTAACACATTGCACGCGCGCGCACGTGCATGCATGTGCATGATGTCCATGTCATCTTGTCTACTCTTTCTATATATATAAATATTTTGAGTATCAAAGCATTTCATCAAAAAGTATAAAAGTTACGATATTATCAAGTAAATTGGTCATTTTACGCTTTGCGCGTGCGCGCACGTGCATGCATGTGCATGTTGACCATGTCATCTTGTTCACACTTTTAATACATCCTTATATTCTGAGTACCAAAGCATTTCACCAAAAAATATAAAAATTACAGCTACATCAAGTATATTGGTCATTTTACCCATTGCACGCACACGGTCGTGCATGCACGTGCGCGCAAAATGACCTTTGTTCCGCAAATCTACATAACATGCCTATTAACCCTAAAAAGGTTTTAACTCAATTGGATGAGCAGTTTCCGAGAACACTCGCGGACAAAAAAGTACCGGAGAAGAAATAAGAAGAAAAAAGAATAATAATAATAACTAGAGCAAAGCTCGTTGCAAAGCAACGAGTAGG